TTGGATACCTTGGGGATACTTTTTCATGCATCCCTTTAGTCTTTGGACAACTTCTTTTAGTCATGAGTGATGAGTCCATTTTCGCATGTTATATAAAATTTAGATATTTTATAAAATCTTAATTATTTATTTTTTATTATAAATAATTGATATTTATTATAATTTTTTAAATAAATTTCAAACATTCATGATAGAAAGGGAAATAAACGTTAAAATTTTATCTAAGAGATGTTTGTGTGAGAATTATATATATGAGAATTCTAAATTACATTAAATTTGTATATTTTCATTTTTACCAAATCAATTATCAATGAATATGAAAATGTGTTAATAATTTAAATAATTTAGTGATAATATTACATAATATATGAGACTAAATCTCTTATCAAGAAATGAAAATGTGATTGAAATAGAAATATAATAAGTATTATAATCACTCATTACACACAAAAAAATATAATCACCAACTACAATTAACAATTTGAGTATTTGACTATACCATTTTTGTTAAAAAACATTTATTTGGAGTGAGAGAAGACCAATATATTGCTAACACTTTGTTTAGTATAATTTTGTCCTTAAGATTAATCTACTGATTAGGAGCCTGAATATTTATATTGAAAACTTTAAATTTAAATTTTAAAATGGTTGGGGGGAATTTAGAAAAAAGAGAGTTATTCTTTGTTATATATTTTATCATCCTTTGTACCAAAAAAATATAATTTTAATTTGTTTATATATATAATGACTGTTTACACCTAAAATTTTTTGAGGAAACAATGACTAACACTATATTTAGATTAAATTTAAAGATTTTACTTTTTATAATAAATTCTAAATCTAGTAATAGTTACTAAATATATAAAAATAAAAAATAAAGATTAAAACCATATTAAGGTTCGGTTTAAGATAGTTTCAATTTAAATTCTTTGTTTTAGTTTTTATAAAGTTTGTAACTTTTAAAAATTAAAACTCAAAATTGAAAAACAACAGTTTGTCTACTACAAGTTTTAACATTAATAAAAAAAAATTAAATTATTTCATAATATTAAAATTATTTTTTTGCTTTTTTAATAATCATAATAATATATTATAAAAATAAATGAACTTTTTTTAGAATTATAAAATTTATAAAAAAAAATATCAAAAGCCAAAAACTACAATATTTTTTTTGGGTTAAATTTTATGTGTGCATAATTTATTAAACATATTTTTATCTTTTAAAATTACCTATAATTTTTTTATGTATCAAATAATAAATTAAAAAAATAAAAAAAGTATACCTCTCTGTACGTCTCAGAATTACTTAAATTAACTTTTCCCCCAAATAATAAAAATATATAAAAAGATATGCGAAATCAACCAATGAAGAATGAACCAAATGGCTGTTTAATGCGCACAAAAACAGCATCAAACAACCCAACACTCCTTTCAAGCATTTTCTTTCCTTTTCTCTCTTTCTTTGAATGATTCTACCCTGTATATTGGGTGAGAAATCGAATCCGAGAAAAACTAGGCCCAAGTACCACGTAATCGTAGACGAGAGGAAGAAGGGAAAGCAAATTCTAGAGAGAGAGGAAACGAGGGCCAGAGATTTTGTGGAAGAGCGATCTCAGCGGTGAACGCTACAGATGGGCACACTTCAGAAATGGAGGAAAGCCTATGGTGCTCTCAAAGACTCCACCAAAGTCGGCCTCGCCCATGTCAATAGCGATTACGCGGTATTCGCTTTGATTTTGGATTCGCATTTCTCAATTTCCTCTGCAATTTTGATTCGTTTGATTCCTTGAATTGATTTTGCTTTCTGTTTTTTCGTCTGAAATTTTTTGTGTGATTAGGATTTGGATGTGGCTATAGTGAAGGCTACGAACCATGTTGAGTGTCCACCCAAAGAGAGGCACCTTAAAAGTGAGTTGGTTTTCGATTTCCCTCATTCATGGTTCTTTCTTTCTTTCTTTCTTTCTTTTTAGATATGGATGTAAAGATCCGGTTTTTGTATCTGGGTTTTTGATTTTGGTGTGATTTGTGATATTTGAATGAGTATTTCTTGTGTTTTATGTTGTAGAAATCTTGCTTGCTACATCAGCAGTTCGGCCTCGAGCAGATGTTGCTTATTGCATTCATGCTCTTGCCCGACGGCTTGCAAAGACTAGTAATTGGACGGTAATTTCCGATTTTGAAGCTTGGAATTGTGGTTTTGATGCAAAATTGCAAATTCTATTCGTTTCCAAAGCTTTTTGGATTTTTATTGTGTTTCTTGATGCTCTTTTTTATTGGAATTAATTGGGATACCATCAACGTCATTGATGTGTACCTACAGATCTATCATGATGACATTTTAGGGTTAAATCACTAAATCAGAGGCTTTTTTCCTTGCATATTTCATTTATGTGTTAGATACTTCCAGTTAGGTAAATGCGAATAAGATCAAATATTCCAGCTAGCAAGGTATAGAGAAGCATGATATTCAAGGAATTCTAATTTCCAAACTCGTGTAAATTACTAGATTACATTATAAGAGTCAAATTTGGCACCTCTGTAGACCAAGATTCTAATTTCTTGCAATGAAGCTTGATTTTGTTCCTTCGAAGTAGCATGATTTGTTTGTATTTTCCACTTTATCAACTTTGCTGTTACCTTGTTAATTTTATTATTCACCAAATTTACATCTCTGGTCCTTTTTAGCATTTTCGTTGAAATGTTTGTTAGCCTTGAAGTTTAAGACTGGAGTTGAAATACAAAAGTATGAATCAATTTGTTTTATCCAAATATTTATGATGCAGTTGGGGTGGCAAAATTCCCTGATTTTTAATTTTTTTTATAACATGGTAAGAAGAGAGCTCTAAGCCTGCTTTATTTTAGGTCTGTGGGCTGAAAAACTAGGGCTTTGTATTGAAACTAAGATGGAAAACTTAATTGATGGGATGGGAGAAGTTTAATCATATTTAATGAATGTGGAAAATGGAGGGGAGGAAAGGAAAATGAAATACTAGTTTTAACTTGTCGTTCTTCTGTTTGGTCGCATCTGCTGTTTATATTAGGCTTTTGGCTATGCATGGAATTAGATGTTAGGAGAAGGATGATAGGCTTCATGATTTAATGTTAAACGGCTGGAAATGATGTTTATGGATCTTGTAATATTTTTTGGAATAGTCATTTTTTAACTGATATGAAATTACCTGGATTGATACTTTACTATTTGTCAGTACTCAGCATCTAGATAATTGTATTGATCTGGATAAGCAGATTTGTTTTATTGATTCTCGTTTCTTTTGTACATAGGTTGCACTTAAAACACTCATAGTTATCCATAGAGCATTGAGGGAGGGTGATCCTACATTCAGAGAAGAACTTTTGAATTTTTCACAAAGAGCACGCATTCTTCAACTTTCAAATTTTAAAGATGATTCAAGCCCCATTGGTGAGTCTCAATTTCTCTCTCTCACACACACACATGCTTGCACAGTCTTTCATTATAATTGTTTGTTTGTTTCTTTTGTGTTTTCATAGTTGCATTTAAGCCATCATCACTAGCTTCTCATTCATGTTCTTTCATTTTCTCTTTTCTCCCACTCCACCCTGCAGCCTGGGATTGCTCAGCCTGGGTGCGTACGTATGCACTGTTTTTGGAGGAAAGACTCGAATGCTTTAGGGTTCTTCAGTATGACATTGAAGCAGAGCGTCTCCCAAAACCCGGCCAAGGGCAAGATAAGGTATTTTTTTGTTGCATCAATTCTTTTGTTGAATTCTATTGGTTATTGGTTTTACCCTTGGGATTCATGGAGTTTGTATTCTTCTCATCTCTTCAATGGGCAGGGTTACAGCAGAACTAGGGAATTGGACAGTGAAGAGCTTTTAGAGCAATTGCCTGCTTTACAACAACTGCTGTATCGTCTCATTGGTTGTCGGGTACCCTATCATCTCATTGCAGCACTTTCACTTATGTGTTGAAGTTATTTCCTTTTTATTCTATCACTTTAAATATATGATTAATTCATGCTACTATTCTCTTTTTGCAGCCAGAAGGTGCTGCTGCTAGCAATTATGTTATACAGTATGCCCTGGCTCTGGTATCACTCTGTCTCTGGGCCTAAACATCTTCTTTAGTATTTATTTATTTATTTTTTTATTTTACCGTCAACCTAGGAGAAGAAACTATGTGGCCATTCAAAGAGGTCATGGATAGAAAGGGGATACATGGTTGCAGATTTTACAGCAAAAAAGATAAAATCATTAATACTTGTATTAAAATGTTCCTGCATGTGAAATAAAAATGATCAATGCTAATAAAGAAGATGTGGTTCTTTTATTTTGTTGAAGAATAGATCTTTCGTTGTTCTTTAATCATATGCAGTTCCTTCTTTTATCCAGACAGCCTGCCTTTTTGTCTCCATTGATGCATATGTTGAAACTTGAAATATGAGAAATGGTGACCTTCAATTCTGTTCTTTCATAAAATCATATGAGTCTTCTCAATGCATTATTGCATTTCCAAAGAAATTAATAGAGAGAAGAATATTCTCTATGCTCCTTAATATCTACAGGGAGAACTGAAAAGTAAAATGATGGTATTTTCTATGCGTTGAGAACATGTTATGAAATGCTTTTGACCTTGCACTACTTGCAATTTTCAGGTATTGAAGGAGAGCTTTAAAATATATTGTGCTATTAATGATGGAATCATCAATCTTGTTGATAAGGTAAGTTGCTTTTTGTATCGTTCACAAAAGCATTTCCTAGTACAAGCAAGATTATTTAAGCTATAATTTTATTGTAGTTTTTTGAGATGCCAAGACATGATGCTGTGAAAGCCCTTGATGTATACAAGCGAGCTGGCCAGCAGGTGATGTTTTCTATTGGACTTGTCAAACTAAATTTAGCATAATATATCTGCTTAATTGCAAAATTATACTGCATTTTGTTCCATTAAGATATCATAGCTTCTTACTAAAATATAATCTACAATTATGATGCAGGCTAATGCCCTTTCTGATTTCTATGAATGTTGTAAAGGATTGGAGCTAGCTAGAAACTTCCAGTTTCCTGTTCTGAGAGAGGTACTATAAAGTCAGTTCCATGTTTTAGTTTGTTTCTGTTAATTCTCTGCAGTCAAATCATTTTTGTCTGTTTCTATCCATTTATCCTTTTTCTCACCTTCTACAGCCACCACAATCTTTTCTAGTAACCATGGAGGAGTATATTAAAGAGGCACCGCGTGTGGTTTCTGTTCCAACTGAACCATTGGTTAGTATATCTTTTCTTCTGCTATAAGCAACATAATGTGTTGTACTATAATAAATTGATATCAATCATTGTCGATATTTTTGGCCATATGTAGAACTTGTTGGGGTGGTTTTCTCATCAAAACAAATGATTAGCTTGGGAGACTAGATGTAAAATCTCCAAAGAGATCGGGTTGAACCTATGATGAACTAGGAATGTAAATTATGTGATAATGGAAACGGTGGAAAGGGGACACTGACACCCCAGCTGCAAGTTGGCTGTGTATAAAGATTATGAAAAATAAACCATACATGACATAAAAGCTTCAAGAATGAATAGTGTACTTTCTGGATTAAATCTAGGCTGGTTGCCAAGTTCAGACTTCAGAAAAGGTTCAACGTGAGAATTAATGAACTTCAAATGTGGAGATAAATGTACTTGATGTAGAATTACGTAATTATGGGAGGTTGGAGAAGACATTATGTAGGAAAGATGAAGTTTGTGTGAAATTTTAAAGTTCTTTAACTTGAAACTAAAGTAAAGATTAACTGTTGTCAGCTAGGAGTAAAGGCTATTGGCTTGGTGTTAATATAAGTTGTGTCATGTTTCTGGTATCAGCTTGAGTTAGGTGTTTTCAATGTACAACAGTTTCTGTGAACCACATAACACATATGCCATCAGACTAATTGGGATCATTATAAACAGCTTCAACTGACATACCATCCAGAAGAAGGTCCTTCTGAAGATGCCAAAGTATCCAATGAAGAACCAGAGTCACCAGTGCCTGTTAATAATAATGCTGTTGCTGTTGAGAATGCTCCTCCCCCACCACCTCCTCCTCCTCAGAACAAGGACACTGGAGACTTGCTGGTAATCTGTAACTTCCTATTTGGTCATTGTTTGGGTTATTTCTCCTGTACTTTTTCATCACATTTTCTGTTGGTCCAGGGCTTGAGTCATTCCTCACCAGATGCTGTTGCCATTGAGGAAAGTAATGCATTAGCGTTAGCCATTGTTCCAATTGAATCTGGTAAGCTATAATTTTATTCTATTTATTTTGCTTATCTGATTGATATTCATGTGATCATTAGTCTTTTTATGTTTTGCCAAGTAATTTAACTTTTAATTGCAGGAACTGCTTCAGCATTTGATTCTAGGACTAAAGCAAAAGACTTTGATCCTACTGGATGGGAACTTGCCCTGGTTACTACACCGAGTACCAACATTTCTTCTGTCACTGAGAGGCAATTGGTAGGTGCTTCCTGTGCTTCAAATTACATATCCTTTCACAATATATGTGTGTGCTTCTGTGCCTAGCTAGGTATCATGGTAAAAGATGGCTGAGTTACGTTCTGTGTGTTATGGTTATAGTTTAGTGATATTTCTCCCTGCATTTTCAGAACCATTTTTCATTGATTTCAACTTTTAGGTACCTAGTGAAACAATGGAAAGATAAATCTTTATGCCCAAGTTAAAATGTTTTGATGTTTATGCCACTTATATATGGTTAGTTTGAATATCTTATTTGTTTCTGTGGGTGACCATTTGTTAGGCGGGTGGATTGGACACTCTCACCCTCAATAGTTTGTATGATGATGCTGCATATAGAGCAGCCCGGCAGCCTGTCTATGGAGCCCCCGCTCCAAACCCATTTGAGGTGCATGATCCATTTGCAATGTCAAACAGCATTGCTCCCCCCACAGCAGTTCAAATGGCGTCAATGGTTCAACAACAAACCAATCCATTCGGTCCTTACCACCCTGCCTATCAGCAACCATTACAACAACAACATTTGATGATGAGTCCAACAAATCCATTTGGTGATGCAGGCTTTGGGCAATTTCCAGTGATTCCTGTTGGCCAGCCGCATGCTAGCAATCCATTTGGAACCACAAGTCTCCTGTAATAGTCATGTATGAACATTTGATAGATATGTTGTGGCCGTTGCAATTAGATTTGGTTTCTTCCAGGAGTGAGAAAATGAGCTTTCAGATGGATGGGTTTCGGCGTGAACTGTATGTTTTGTATGGCATTGTAAAAGTCAAGTGAGGTAGTGAAAGATGTGATGAGTAGTTGATACGGTCCAGAACGATATAGTAATTAATTTTAAAAATTTCTCATTAGGCTAAAGTCTTTTGTCTCTTGAAGTCGTACTTTCGATCTTTCAATTCACTGGAGTCCAATCTCCATCGAGGGATTGGTTCCCATGAATGACCTCAATAGGATGACCAAAGATAAACGATGCTTGTTCAGAATGAACTAATACAACAGGTAACTAGTCTTCACTTTTTCCTGTTCTCTTGTATTTGTTTTAAGATTCGAACTCAATACTTCAATATTTTTATGAAGGTTCAAGTAGACATTCAGTGAGGAACGGTTTTTTAGAGATTTTATCCTCACTGGGTAAGATAATTATCATGTGGCCGTGAAATTGTTCTTTCTTTGTATGTTACAGGCTAAATCATTGAGGGAACCTCCTCCCTGCACCTCTGGTTCTTCTTCTTCTTCTTCTTCTTTTTTTGCCTAACATCAAATGATAAATTATACAATACGAGATAGCAATATATTTTGTCTTCATTCAATCACCAGCATCTCTTATCTACTCTTTGGTTCATATTCAGGGAATGTAAAGATCATCCCCAAGTCTCAAACCATCATTGAAAAACACCAAAACCATTTAATTCCTCAAGTACCCCGCCCTTTTCTTGTGAGACAGAGAAGAGAATATATTATAGTATTAGAATATTCTTTCGAAAGCCAAAGAATGGGGAGGACTGGAAGTGGAAAAGGAAGCAAAAAAGCAAAAGAAGATGGGTAAGAGGAGGCAGAAAAGCAAAAGGAAATTAAGGGTATCTGTTTGTCCCATATTCTAGTATCACCATCATCACCATCATCACCATCACTGTCCTCCCATTTTTTTTTTGTTCTATCTTTATTTGTACTTCTCCAGTGGTATCCTATTGCTCATATTGCTTATAACAGCTGCTACTTAATCATGGAATCCAAAGTTCTCTAATAGAAAATATATATGTACCCACATTCTGAAGGACCTTGGTTAAAATCACGCCAAAAATGGCTAGATACATCTATACCATTCACTCACAATAAAGGGGGTGACTTTTTTTTTTTTTTTAGTATATCAAGATGTTAGCTGTTTGAGATTGTTGTCTCTTATAAGGACTTAAATTTTTAATTTTAATATCAAACTAAGACTTTTAAATTAGTGGGGATTTACTCGACCAAACTCTTATTGGTGGATATAAAAACACTTGCTATTCCAATAAATATAGATTTATGGTATCATACTACTTGGAATTATGGACTAGTTTTGGGTCATATGATTTGGAGAGTTCAACCAATCTCTCATGCTTATCCAAGCTAATTAAAACACCTTCTTTGACAAATTATGAACTCTTTTTGAAATAACAGATTATGGTATCAAAATTTCATAGCCATGGCCCTTCTTTACTTGATTATAATTGATGCTTAAAAATAAGGTTTTATGGGTAATTATCATCGGGAATGAGTATAGGGGCCCTTCTATACATGATTACAATACAATATTAAGCAAATACTTCCACATTATTGGATTTATAACCAAGCGATGATGTTCTTAGGTCCCTCATTCCATTCAAGTAATATAATCCATCTTTTTTGAATTCAATCGTTGAACTTGAAC